TGCAGGGTGCGGGCGGCCGGGCCAGACAAGGAGGCAGCAGGTGCTGGTGGCAGACGCGTGCCCTCCCCGTGACCCCCACGCCCAGAGGCACCACCTCACACCCACCTGCCTGAGACCTGTGACCCAGGAGGGACCTGCTGGGCAAGGTCGGGTCCGCCCTGCCCCACGCGGGGCCGTCGGGGGTGGAGGCCCTTCCGCGGGCGCTAGTGACGGGGTCGGAGTAAACGGAGCTGTGCCTCGGGGACGCAGGGAGGGGCCGGGCCAAGGACGAGGGGGCAGGACAGCCCCTCCCGGGGCGGCGGGCGGCGAGGAGTCAGGACGCCTGGTTCCGTCCACACCGGCTCAGCCGGGCCTGCTCCACCGGAGCATTCGGTGGCCTCCGCCGCCCCCCAGCGGGGTTGTCTGGCAGCACAGCTGCCGCCCGCCGGCCCGCCCGCCGGCCCTGGGACCAGGACCGCCCTGCAGCTCCCGGCACAGCCCTCCTCCCGGTCCCCAGGCCGAGACCCACCTCGCGCCCGCCTGGGCCAGGGTGGCCTCCACGGGGCAAGTCCCTGCTGCAAGGCCCTCTCCTTCCTGCCTGCCTCTTCCTTCTGATCATAAACGTAAAGGGTGCCACTGGCTACAGCAAAGTACAAGCCGCGCGTCGACGTGGAAAAACGAAACACAAGTCCCACTAACCCCCCATGGCTCTGGGACAGCGTCCGCCCGGCTCACAGACGGCACCGGGGCCTGTGTTTCCAGGACGCGGCCGACCTCTGCCTAGGAGGTTTTCCTAGGAGGCTTCTCTCTCTCTCTCTCTCTCTCTCTCTCTCTCTCTCTCACACACACACACACACACACACACACACACACACACACTCTGCAGCCCTTGCCTGTCCCGTCTGTGGCAGGAGGGTTCTCCCGTTCTCTCCTGGGACCCGAAGCTGTTTGCTCGTCGTCATGTCTGGGGGAGGTGGGCCCAGACCAGCACCCAGCAGGGGGCGCTCACTGAGTGGGTGACCAAGCAGGTGTCTCCCATTTCACAGACTGCGGCCACGGAGGCCGGGCTGGGGGAGGAGCTGTCCCAGGCGGCTGGCTGGTGAGAGCCAGAGCCGGGCAGGGCCTGGTTGCTCCCTCCCCTCCCCTCCCCACCCCACCCCCCTTGCTTTGCCCACGTGAATGCCCCCCGGTCAGCAGGCGTTTGTCATGGCCCCTGGCCAGCAGCCCCGGCTTCTGTCCCCTCCTCGTAGGAGACAAGAGGGTGCATGCGGGCCCCGGGTGGTCTGGCTCCTTCGCTGTGGGCTCCACAGCCCTGTGTGGGGTGGCTTCCTTCCAGGGGAAGCAAGAATTTAAAAAGTTGAAAGAAAGGCTTTCAGGAATTGCACGTGGACTGAAGTTTCCTTTATTAAAGAACTGAGCAGCCCTGGCTGGTGTGGCTCGGTGGATAGAGCGTCAGCCTGCGGACTGAAGGGTCCCAGGTTGGGTTCCGGTCAAGGGCACAGGCCGGGTTGTGAGCTTGACCCCCAGTGGGGGGCGTGCGGGTGGCAGCCGATCCATGATTCTCTCTCTCTCCCTTCCTCTCTGAAATCAATAAAAATTTATTAAAACTAAAAAAGAGCTGAGCCAACGGCAGGAGGCGTGAGTGCCACGCAGCGGACGTTCCCAAGGGGGCAGGGCCTCGCTCTGGGGTGCCCGTGGGTGGGCGGGGCGGGCAGAGGAAGAGTGACAGCCCAGCGCCCGGGTTTGGACCCGGATGGAGCTGGGAGCAGGATTTTCGTTGTTTACTGTGTGATGTTAATTAACATCCTCCTGTGACACACAGTCCCCGTGCAGGCGCTCGGTCCGCCCACGGGGGTCCCGCCCACGCCGGCCGGGCAGGCCCACACCCGGCGGGACACCACCCGGGGGCAGGACGCCTCCTGGGCGGCCGCTCCCCTTTGGATGAACTGCTCCCCGGGTCCCTGGAAACTGGGCTGGGTTTTAGCGGTTTTGTTAATTTCCCTTGGGGAACATTTGCATTTCAGAGACCCAGGGTCTGTTTTGTATTAAAATACACGTGCTTTTCAGTTGGCTGCCTTTAATCCTTTTTCTCCAAGAAAACCTCAGTGGCAGTTACATTCTTACCCCCCCCCCTCGCCACATAGACAATCTTCCTTGGGGAAAATTCCTGGCTCGCTGGCTACCTTCCCGATACCTGGGCGTCGAGGCAGCTGCTGCGACGGAGCCGTCAGACCCTGTGCTGCGCTTCCACTTCTGCGCTAGTCACCCCGTGCCCCTGTGACCAGAGGCTCTGCTGGGGGCACAGCCAGTCACACGGGCAGCGGCCCAGGAGGGCGACGACCAGGCTGGGCAAGCCACACGGACGTCCCTCCTCCCCAGCAGAGCTGCCCGGGGAGATGGGGGCACATAGCAGGGAGAGTGGCCTCAGCCCCCGCCCCACCTGCTGCCTCTGCTTCCCACACTCGCGCATGCATTTATTTCCTGATACAGGGGACCCCGCTTCTACCATCACCTTTCTCCAGGGACGGGCGGTGGGATGGACCCCGGGGCCTGAACGGGCGGCGGAGGCTGCTCTGACACTTACAGACCAGCCGAGGGGACCCGGGACCCAGGCCGCCTGGTAACGGCCACCCCCGGTCCCGGTGCCCCTGCAGGGGGCCTGCGTGCAGACAGAGACCTTAGGGGGGGACGCTATTAAATGGGCGTCGGCCCGCGGGGAGGCCCCCTTGCCACCGTGATGTCAGCGAACCTCCCGGCTACTCAGCAGGCAGGAACCAGTCCCTCCAAAGGCGAGACCCTCTGACACGTCGACGAACCCCAAAAACATGATGCTGAGGCCGCTGGCGAGGCTCAGGGGGTGAACGTCATCCCGAGCTCCGGGTCGCTGGTTTGATTCCCATCACAGCACGGGCCTGGTGGCCGGCTCGACCCCCAGCAGGGGGCGTGCAGGGGGCAGCAGGTCAATGTTTCTCTCTCCCCCCCTCACCCTTCCTCTCCCTGAAATCAATAAAAACCTATTTCAAAAGGAAAGCATGACGCTGAGCGAAAGAAGCCGGACACGAGGCCACGCACGAAGGCCACACGGCGTGTGCGCTCAGGCCTGGCCCGCCACCTGCACGGCTGCTGCGACGGTGTTTGGAACGCGTGCCTTCTCCGCGGGCCGCCACGAGTCGCTGGAGGGAGCAGCCTTCACTGGACTAGACTCGGGCTGTACAGGAGTTAAGTCAGCAGAACGGGAGTAAACATACTGGGGTGCCGGGGCTCCCCCGGGGAGGTGCTGTGGGCTGGGGGGCGGGATGCGCCCTGACGGAAAGGCCTCTGAGCGTGGGGTGCGAGGGGTGTTGTGTTAACCCGCGAGGAAGAGTCTCAAGGCCCAAACTGCTGTGGTGTCAGCACATGACTCCCCACCCTGCCTGTAACATTAGGAGAAAGGGAGGTTGTGTGTGGGGGGGCGTCTGGGGGGTCCCTCCCCCCCTTTACCTGGGCATGTGTGACCCGTAATTAAGGGTAAAGTTCTGAAAGCCCCACGGGAAGACAGCTCTCACTACCAGCAGAATCAGTGCCTGCAGCTCAGGCAACGCTGCTTTAGGCCCATCAGGGACACAGGGAGCTGACAGATGCCACCGGGAAGGCCCGGCTGCCCCCCGCCCCCCGCCCCCCAGATGTCCCCCTCCTGCACCACGAATCATGCCTGGGAAGCGGCCGGAGAGTGACGGGGGCAGCAGAGGCACAAGAGGACTGGCGCGCGGGCGGCACGGGGGTCCAGACGAGCCTTAGCCACCAAACACCGACCCTGCGAGATGGCGAGGACGGGGGAGGGGGGAGGGGGGCGGGGGAGGACCACTAGCTGGACTTAGGTCTCCTGCTCAAGGCGCCAGGTGCACCCATCAAATCCCCTTTCACTACCTCGTCCTGGACTGACAGCTCAGCCGGCGGCCCGCGCTCCGGCCAAACGCCTGGTGCACGGGAGGCTGAAGAGCATAAAAACCTGTAAAAACGAGGGCGGGAAAGGCTGGAAGCCCGATCAGCCCTGGTCAGCGCCGTCAGCTCCCTACTCGGCGGGGCTGTGACGGAGCCACTAATAAAGCACTTACCCCGCCTGGCCCGCGCTGGGGGCCTCAGGGTGGGAGCTGTCCTCTGCCCGGGGGTGCAAGGCCACCAGGTGGCGGGGGGCGGGCGCCCACAGACCCCGCCCGCTGGAGGGGCCCCACCCCACGAGGCTCCCCGACTCGACTGCCACGAGGCCTGCACTTTTGGGCGTCGGTGTTGTTTCTGCATTTTCCAGTTTCAGCAAGAAGCCCCGGCCTCCGTATCTGCCCACCCTCCCCGGGGAAGGGGGTCCAGGTCACCTGGGCCTGAACCCCTCTGGCTGGTCTGGCGAGAACCCCCTCACCCTGGTGTTTCCTCTGAGTAACCTGCCCGCCGGCCCCGGGGCCCTGGCGGCTGGGGCTGAGCGGTGCGCAGAGGCCCGTGCAGCATCCCGCACACCGACGGGGCTCGAGGGGGCGACTGGCCCCGAGTCCCAGCCGCGCAGCTCCCGCCCCGGGGCTCCGGCTGCAGGCAGGGCTGGCCGCTGCCACAGCTGCCCGTCCCCGGTCCTCGTGCGTCCAGGCGAACACACCTTAGAAACAGCAGCGCACACGCCCCCCTGGCCCCGAAGGCCCGGCACCGGGTTCACTGGCGCCCATCCGGGCGTTTCCCGGGAGCCGGAACCCAGCTGTTCACCCCCAGCTACTCACAGGCCGGAAGGCTCGGCCAGGGGACCGGAAGCCCTGCAGATTGCACTTCCGGCAGATCCGTGGGGCGGGGCCTAGGGGGCAGGTCCGCGTCGCCCTGCGTCACTTCCGGGCGCGGTGAGCGAGGTGAGTCCCAGTGGTCGGCCTGCGGGGTCTGCGCCCGGCTGGCGGGCCGCCTCCCCAAACGCAGGAACTAAGCCTCCGGGGGCGGCGGTGGCAGCGCCGAAGGCCGCCCGCTGGGTGGGCCGCCCGGGGTGCGGAGCGGCGGCAGCCGTGGAGGTGCGGCTCGGGGAGCGAATGCGGCCCCTCGCCCGCCTCTAGAGGCCGGGGCGCGGGCGGGCGGGCAGCCTCTCGCCGGCCTGTCGGTGCGGACGTGTGCGCCAGTCCGGATCCGGGAGGCCCGGGGCGGCCCGCGTGGCGACCCTGCATCCGGTCCTGCTGCCCGGAGCCCGAGGCGGCGCTGACGCGGGTCGACTTGCTCTTTTCCTCCCTTTCTCCAAGCTCCCTCCGTTCCTGCTTTTTTTTTAACAGGCACGTGTTTATTTTGTTTCTAAGTCTCTGTTGCCGAGAGCTTTACGGATGTGCCTTCTTGCTGCCCCATCGCCCCGCCCACACCACCCTGCAGTCGGTGCCCGTAGGTCGGACCCTTGGCTGACCTCTTCCGCCCCGTGCCCCTCCCGTGTGCGGGGTGGAGCTGCTGTGTCGCCCGGAGCTGGCAGGGTGGCCGGTGCAGCAGGTGCCCCGCAGGGCCCAGTGGCTCAGGCTCCCGGCACCTGAGCTGGGCTCTCTGGCGCCCCCTGTGGGCTGTGTGCACAGGCTTGTAGCTGAGCCTTGGCTGCTGCGGGCGTCCAGGGAGGATTGACCACCAGGCCCGCTGGCTGCGAGGACCGGCTGTGGCCACAGCGGGAGAGCTGCTGTGCAGGAGGCACCCCGTGGAGCAGGCCTTGCTCTGGTGGGGCTTTGTGCTCCCTGAGTCTCCCCCCGAGTGTGGGGCTCACGGTGTGTGGAGCTGTCACCTGCTGTGGTCGGAAGCTGTGCCCTGGGCGCAAGGTCAGCCACTGGCCGAGGCCACCTGGCAGAAGCTACAGAGAGAGCTTCAGACCTTGGACGGGCTTGGGGGTGCCCGGGTGAGGCCCCGCTGTGAAGCAAGGCAGGCTGGCGCTAGAGCCGGGTCTGGGCCTTCTAGCGATAGGCTTGGGGCACGCTGTCGCCCGCTGCAGCTCGTCTGAGAGGTTTTAGCGAAGGCTGAAGCCTGAGCCAGGACAGGCCGTTCACATGGAAAAGTGCAGCAAACAGCTTGGGCGGGGCCTCAGGGAATCGCAGGGGGGGCGAGCGGGTGGGCCCGGCCGGGGAGACAGATACGGGTGCCAGTCACCCTGCAGCAGGGGAGGTCCCAGCGCAGGAACAGTGACCCCTGTGAGCACCCCAGGAGGAAGCCACCCCTGCCCAATGCCAGACAATCCAGCCCCCCACACACACACGGTTTGTGTCTGGGTCCCCAAAGCCGCCCGGTGCTGGGAGTAGGAGTGAGATAGTGCACCGGCCTCTCAAATGGAATGCCTGGGTCTGCAGCAGCCTCCATGTCACGGAGCTCCAATCCCCGCTGGGTCCTTCAGCCCGTAGTTACAGGGACTTCCAGCCGTGGAACCCAGCTGGGGGCCGGTGAGGGGCCGGGACCCCTTGCTCCTTACGGGCGGCCTCTGCAGCCAAGACATCCCTTCCGACTGGAAACACGGCTCACGAGGGGGTGGGACCCGCCCCTTCCACGCCTCCACCCCCACCACTGTCAGCGCATCTCCTCTCCCCTCCCCTCCCCGGCCCTCCCCTGCCCTCCCCTCCCCTCCCCTCCCCGTGGGGCTCCCATTCCGCCAGCGTTCAGGTGGTCCTGATGAGGTTGTTCTGGGCTTTGGTTGTAATTTTGATGTGGTCGTGGGAGGCGGCGAGTACCGGCGTTTACCCGCGTTTACCGGCGCCGCCGTCTCTGCTCTCCCCTTCCTGTCTCATGTCAGCCAAGGCGCCATCGCAGGCACTCAGCCATGGAGGGCAAGCCCGTGGTGACGTCCAAACAGAAGACGGAAGTGGTGTGTGGGGTCCCCACCCAGGTGGTCTGCACGGCCTTCAGCACCCACATCCTGGTGGTGGTGACCCAGTTCGGGAAGATGGGGACCCTGGTCGCCCTGGAGCCCAGCGCTGTGACCAGTGACATCAGCAAGCCCGCGCTCACTACCAAAGTTCTTCTCGGGCAGGACGAGGTAATGGGTGGGAGGACTCCGTGGGGAGGTGACAGGGAGTGTTGGGGGGCAGCAGCCCCACCTGGGCGACAGCGTTTTCTGGGTCTTCGTGGTGCGAGGTGTGTGCCCGGGGTGGGTGCTTTTCCCAGCCCCTCAGCATCTTACCCAGCAGGCAAGCAGCACGCCCCCCCCCCCCCCAAGTGTGACCCTGGGGTGAGACAGTGCGGTGGCCGCCATGCTCCGTCCCGGGAAGATGCTCCCCTGGGCAGAGTCCGGCCACAGACCTGTCCTTCGGGAGCTTCCCGGGTTAGAGAGCAGACAGACAGGAGCCAGAAGCACCAAGGAGGCAGCGGCAGTGACGCCTTCTGCGGGGGGGGGGGGGCCAAGGGGTGCCTGGCGTGTTCTGAGCCCCTGAGCTCGGAGTTACTGTCATAGCGAATGCCTGGAGTGCTGATCTCCTGGGGGACACTTCAGGCATAAAAGCCATATGTGACGTGGTTTTCTCCCCTTCCCTTCACCAGCCTCTCATCCACGTCTTCGCAAAGAACCTGGTGACCTTTGTGTCTCAAGAAGCCGGAAACAGAGCCGTCCTCCTAGCCATGGCCATGAAGGACCGGAGCATGGAGGGGCTGCGGGCCTTGAAGGAGGTGATTCAGACCTGCCAGGTGTGGTGACCTGGACTTGCAGCCGCACCTGTGGCTCCACAGAACCAGGGGGAAGGCAGGGACTCGCTGGGAGCCCCTCCTGCGCCCTGGAAGCCGGGGAGAGGAGCGGGGAGAGGAGCGTGTCCCCCCAGACTCCTGCTTGGCCTCTGACCCTGACCTTGGAGGGAGGGAGCGCGGGAGTGCGTGGGAGAGTCGGGATGGTCTCACCAGGGCCCAGTGGGTTTGAGAATTGAAAGGAGTCCTGGCCCTCAGTGTGTGGTCCCGGCCAGTGGAGGGAATTGCTTTTGTATTAAAACAAGTGCAGAATCCAAGCTGCCCCACCCGCCCTCCTGACAGCTGTGGACTCCAGCCTCGGCACAGTGGGCCTGCGGGGGCAGGAGCTTGAGTGGCTGACGCAGGGGCTTGGTTCCCACGGTGAGGGGCCCGGGAGCTGTGTCTCGCCCTCATCTTGCTTCTCCTGTGGCTCTTCTGAGTGAGATGGGGCTGACAGGGGGCTGACCTCCATTCCATTCTTCCCATCTCGTTGTGTGTGGTCACCTCGATGGGCCGGGGGCACAGGCATGGGACCAGCCAGGGGAGGGCTGACAGGGCAGGCCAGGTGGGGACCGTCCAGGGGAGGGAGTTTCAGCAAAGGGAGGAGGTGGGAAGGGCTCAGCAAGGCTGCAAGGGCCTCGCCAGGAACAGGCCACGCCCCTCTCACGTGGGACACGGCTCGGTGGCAGTGAGGACCCGGGCTCTGGAAAGGTGGTGAGGAGTGGAAGGCTCTGAGCCCGGGGAAGTGGGAGAGAGGACTTTTTTTTTTCTTTTAATATATTTTTACTGATTTCAGAGAGGGAAGGAGAGGGAGAGAGAAATAGAAACTTCAGTGATGAGAGAGAATCATGGATCAGCTGCCTCCTGCACACCCCCTACTGGGGATCGAGCCTGCAACCCAGGCGTGTGCCCTTGACCAGAATTGAACCTGGAACCTTTCAGTCCACAGGCCGACGTTCTATCCACTGAGCCACACCAACCAGGGTGAGAAGTGAGGCCATTGTGATGAGCATGCTCCCCAGCAGGACCCTGAGCGCCCAGGGCAGAGGCGGGCTGGCCGGGCGCCTGAGTGTCGGGGCAGGGACAGCCGTCTCCACAGGCCGTGTCTCCTGTGAGCCCACAAGAGCCCGAGGGTGGGCTGCACAGGACGGGGAGGTCCCTCACCGCTGGGGAGAGGTGGCGGGCCCAGGGCCGGGCAGGACGGCACAGGACAGAGGACCGTGGCACTGGAGGGAGAGGGGAGAGGGGGAGAAACCAGGAGAAAGTCTCTTAAGAGAAAAACCCAGAAGCGAGCCCTTGAGCAGGTGCCGCAGGCCCACAGGGGACCGGCACCCAGGCCCCGACTCGTGGGTTTCCTCTGTTAATCTTCATCCCCCACCGTCTGGGACCCTGAGGATCTTTGCACCCACTTCACAGATGGGGAGCACCTCCCTGCTGCTGGGCCCACACCCCCAGCCTGGGCCTCCTCCTGGTAATGAGCTCATCCCCCCCCCCCCCACTTTCCCGCAGGTGGGCACTCCTTCAACCAGTGGGAGGGGCTGTCCCAAGACACCCTCAGGCTCCCGGGCAGAACACTCGGAGGGAAGAACGGAAACAGACCTGTGAAGGGGGGGGACTGCCACCCTCTGGGGGTGACAGGCACTGTCCCACTTCACCCTATGAAGTGGCCTCAGACCCTCACCCACACAGGCCAGAGGAGCAGCCACCCAAAGCCACACCTGGTCAGTGATCCAGACACAGCCCACACTGAGATGTTGGGGTCTACGGCCAACGTGTGCCCCCCCCCCCACAGGACGGTGGGGGGGGGAGGACTGGTCTTGGAGTAGGTGGGGCCTGGGGAGGGTGTGGCCCAGGTGCACCTGGGCAGGGAGGGCTGGCCAGCCCTGGAGAGTTGTCTGGGTCAGAACAGGCCAGAGCTTCCCCAGGGGCCACCCTGCTGCTGTGAGGACAGCAGAGGGCGGGGCCTCCAGGTGGGCCCAGCACCCTCACACCTCAGGGTGGAGCAGTGGCCCAGGGAGCCACAAAGGAAGTGAGCTGTGGCGGGCGGGGGTGCATTCACATTTGTGCATGTGTGTGTGTATGTGCACACGGGAGGGGTGTGGTGTCCAGGCTGAGCCCCAGGCAGCCCGATGGGGTGGGGGCTCCTGGAGGAAAACTCCCACATTTGCAATTCTGAGGGTCACACTGCCTCACCCCAGAGGCCGTGTCCCTGAAGGAGCCAGGGTGCCCGCTGGTAACCAGAGTGTCCAAGGCCCCAGGGGCACCCAGGGCTGCAGCAGACTCACCTGAGGGGCAGGTACAAGCGGCCCAGGGCGCGCAGGTTCTCCCTGGAGACCCAGCAACGGGCCTGGGAGGGACGCGGGCCGGCAGGGGCAGGACAGGAAGGACAGGAGGAGGGAACAAGGTCGGGGGTCGATGGGCTTGCTGGGCTGGTCAGTCCCTTGGCCTGGAAATGGAGAGGAGCCCACCCACGACGTGCCCGGCTGGCAGGACACCAGGCGGAACGAGCCAGCTGGGCCTGAGTCCTCCGGCGGCAGCAGCTGACCAGCTTTTTTTCGCTTTTATGTTTTTATTGATTGTAGAGCAGGAGTGGGGGACATCCGGCCCACGGGCCACATAAGGCCCAGAAATTGTCTGCTCTGGCCCTGCCAAGGATTAGGGGTGAGTTAGTTAAACGTTTGGCCTAAGTGAGCACATGGGTAAGGGGGTGGAGACACGTGAAACGAGCGGTCTCGTGAGGAAGGAGGCCGAGATGGAAGGGATGTGGCAGGAGCCCCCAGAAGCTGAAGAGGCAGGAAGGACCCTCCCTGGAGCCCCCCACGGGAGCACAGCCCCAGACGCCCTGATTTCAGATTCTGGCCCCAGAGCGGGGAGAGCACGTGTTCCTGTGGGTTTAGGCCAATTTGTTGTCATGGGAGCAGCAACCCCAGGAAATAGACGCCCTTGTTGGGGCTTTGACCGGGTTCTAGGCACAGCTGAGCCCTGTGCCCCGGCAGGGGGACCCCCTAGACCTCTCACTGCAGGGCTCACAGGGAGACCATCCCTGTGTCTGTGCCTCGGCCCTGCCTCCCGCTCCCCCAGGCTCCTCGGCAGCGACGGTGCAGTGGGCGCACCCGGCAGGCCGCTCAGTGGGAAGCGCAGGCCATGGCTCAGGGACAAGAAAAATGATTGACTAAATATAACGGGCTAATTGTTAAGTTGGTAATTGTGTATGGCCTGCGAATGATGTTATAAATATCAAAATGGGCCGGCTGGCGTGGCTCAGTAGTGGAGCGTCGACCTATGAGCCAGGAGGTCATGGTTGGATTCCTGGTCAGGGCTCATGCCTGGTTGTGGGCTCCATCCCCAGTGTGGGGCGTGCAGGAGGCAGCTGATCCATGATTCTCATCATTGATGTTTCTCTCCCTCTCCCTCCCTGAAATAAAAAGTATATATTTAAATAAATAAATATATATATATATATCTCCAAATGGAAAGGAGAGGGAGAGGAACATCGATGAGAGAGAGCCATGGATCGGCTGCCTCCTGCATGCCCCGCGCTGGGGATGGAGCCCACAACCCGGGCCTGTGCGCTGACTGCATCCACCGGGGACCTCCTGGTGTAGGGGTCGACACCACTGAGCAACACCAGCCGGCCGTGACCACCTGCGGGAGGAGGTGACAGGAGCCCCCTGAGCCCCTGCTCTGACAGGCTGACCTGCTGCACCTGGGGGTTCCCATCGCCTGTGGTTTGCCCAAGGTCATATCACAGGCACTGATTGGTGGGTCAGGGTCCCCCCATGAGTCCTACCCCGGGCTCTGGGTCCAGTGCCCTGGCCCAGGTGAGGAGTGTCAGTCCTGACCACCAAGAGGCGATCCTTCCCTGCTCACCCACCGCCTGAGGGACCCCAGAAGGAGTGCTGGGAGGACCCAGGTCCCCACCCCCTTGAAGCCCAGAGGGAGGGAGGAGTGGCTTGGGGTCCCCAGGCTGGTGGGTGGCCAGGCCGGGCTGTCCTCCAGGCTTTCCCTGTGCTGCAGGGAGTGCTGGGAGGCAGGGGCCCTGGGTCCAGCCACTGCCCCTCCCCTCTCTTCCTGTTCCCCCGGGTATGGGGGTGACGGAGGCCTGAGCACTGAGCCCCTGGCCGACATTGAGTCCTGGTCCATTCGCCCCGGCCCCACGCCCTGGTGGTGGTAGCTGAGCCGATGGCCTTTGCGTGGCCGGGACAAACGCTCAACGATGCGTCCTGCCCCTGCCTGGCACCAGCAGGGGAGGACCCAGGGGAGAGCAAAGCACCCCGGCGTGCGGGCCTGGGGAGGCAGGGTGTCGGGTCATCGCCCACAAGCCACCATGGCCCCCGCCTTGTCTCTGCCGGTTCAGGGCGCAGCTCAGCCATGGAAGGGGCAGGGGCAGGGGAAGGGGGGCCTGTCCCTCGTGGGAGAAGAGATGTCCCCCGACGGCCCGCTGGTCTGGAAGGAGGTGCAGTGCCAGCGTCGAGGGCCGCGGCAGTAGGTCACTGGGGGAAAGGCAGGTAGGTGTTGGGACGAGGGCACTCCGGTCTGGGACTGGCTGGCAGCTTCTCGCACCCCCCCAGGCCCTGGGACCTGCCAGGGCCTGGCCACCCGCTCAGAGTAAACAGTGGTCAGAGGCCCCCGCTGCCCGGATCTGGGCCGCAGGTCTGTCCTGTGACAGGCTTGGTCCGTGTCCAGCCCCAGACAGGAAAGTCAGGCCCAGCCGGCCCGGCCACCTCCCGAGTGGGTGTGGGCCGTGACACCAGCTGCCCAGGGCCAAGGTCTCGCCCGGCCAGAGAGTCCCAGGGTGCAGAGCAGCCGGCCGCCCCCCAGCCTCCTGGACATCGGCTCAGCTAACACTGCCATGGTGTGGGGCTGGCCCCTCGATTTCATTGTGCGCGGGCTTGGCACAGCCGGGCCCCCCCCCTCCCCAGGGAGGGTCGCCTCACCCACCCACAGCATCGCCACCTTCCCCTGAGCTCAGGGCACAGCAAGGGGGCGTGTGCCAGGCCCCCAGTGATGGCAGAGACCTGCATACTCCACCCCAGGGAGGGGCAGATGGCCCCAGACTGACCTCAACAAAGAGAAAGCGGAGGCCCGCAGCAGCACGGGCTGTGAGGTGGCTGAGCAGAGCCCGCGTTTATGAAAGGCACACCAGGCCCGTGCTGGCAGGAAGGGCCAAGCCGGAGCCAAAGCTGCCCCGTGAGGCAAAGCCATTGCCCAAGGTGTGCAAGAGGCTCTGGAGTGGGGAAGCTTCAGAGCAGGGCTCTCTGGAGGCCTTCCTGGAGGAGGTGGCTAAACAAGAATGTGCCAGGGAGGACAGCTGCGAGAACAGCCCAGAGGACACTGGGTCTGACCTCCACCATCAGGGGTGGCCTGGAGCGGAAGAACCTTCCCGGGAACCAGGGACCCTTGGGAACCATAAACCAGCTGAGTCTGATGTCAAAATCCCCTCACCACCCCCCCCCAAAAAATAATAAAAATAGTTTTTAAAAATCCCCTAGCCCTCTAAAACAAAATAATAAATATAGTTTTTAAAAATCCCCTCACCCCCTAAAACAAAATAATAAAAATAGTTTTTAAAAATCCCCTCGCCCCCTAAAATAATAATAAAAAGAGTTTTTAAAAATCCCCTCGCCCCCTAAAATAATAATAAATAAAAATAGTTTTTAAAAATCCCCTCGCCCCCTAAAATAATAATAAATAAAAAGAGTTTTTAAAAATCCGCTCGCCCCCACTCGTCGCTGGCAGAGCTATGGGACAGGAGGCCTCCAGGGCTCCGCCCACCTTCCTGCACAGTGCAAGCTGCCCGCGGCCTGGCTCGGGGGTCGAGTGTGGACCTGTGAACCCGGAGGTCCCGGTTTGAGTCCTGGTCAGGGCACACGTCTGGGCTGTGGGCTCAGTCCCAGTGTGGGAAGTGCAGGAGGCAGCTGATCAATGATTCTCATCGTTGATGTTTCTCTCTCCCGCTCCCTTCCTCTCGGAAATCAATAAAAATATATTTTTTAAGAGGGAGGGAGGGAGAGAGAGCGCAGAGCGAAGCCAGCACCCTCGGAGCCATCCGAGTGGCCCTGCTGACCCAGCTGGGAGTCCCGGCATCGAACCACAGTGGCCCCTGCTGTGTGCTCACTGGTCCCAGCGTCCGCCTGGGAAGGACCTAGACCTTGGCCGCCCCGCCCGGCGAGCGAGTGGGTCCCCGGTCCCGGACAGCCTGCCCCTGCCCCGAGTCTTCGCCCTTGGAGGCCCCTGAGCCCCGGTCTGCGCAGCCGGACAACTTGTGCGGGTTCCTGGGGCGCGGGGGGGGGGGGGGCGGGAGGGTCAGGGTGGCCCCTTTGGCGCCGGGAGGCACTCGCTCTGGCTGGAGGCGGGAGCCCACAGCGCCCCCCGCTGGGTTCGTGGGAGCCCGCCCAGGACGCCGGCTCCCTGCACACGCTGTGGGCCGTGGCGCGGTCCCGGGAGCGGGGCGGGGACGGCAGGCGGCGGGCCGGTGACACAGACGTGGGACAGGCGGCCGCCGGGGAGACGCTGGTGCGGAGGGTGCGGCGGAGCTGGAGGGGCCCTGCGGGTTGGGGCTGGGCTGGCGTGCCCTGGCTGGGGCTCCCGGGGGGCTGTGAGTGGGGGAGCAGGGGGTGCATTCCAGGGTTGGAGGCCTCACCCTGGGCCTTCCTGCGTTCTTGGGGGACCGTGGGAACAGCGATGAGCCTCCCTGGGCGCCGTTCCCACCTCTAAAAGGAGCCCAGCAACCCCAGCGCTGTGGGCGCGCCCCCTAGTGCCCAGGGCGCGGGAGGTCCCGGACCCCACAGAGCAGACATCCTCGGGCACCCAGGACGCACAAGCCCACTGTCACCAGAGCAGGGCCAAGACCAGCCGAGGCCCCCCCGCCCGCCCGCCCGCCCCCCAGGGCTGAGCTGGCACCTTGGGGGGGGGGCTGGGCGCGGGGAGTCGGGTGCCCCGGCTGTCACTCCCTGCCCCCCCAAACCCAGAAACGTTTCCAGGGCACCCCTTGGGGAAGGGGTTTTAAACCGAGGTGGGATTCCGGAACACATTTCACCCGTTTCCAAGGCACTGAATGCGCCGCGATGTGGTGCAAGCGTCACCGCCGTCTCCTCCGGAGCCCCGTCCCCTGCCCACCCCGCCCCGCCCCGCGTGGGGCCTGCCCTGCGGGAGCCGCCAGCCCAGCTCCGCCACCCGGACCCCCGTCCCGGGCCGGAGCAGCCGCCTGGCCAGCTGGCGCGGGCAGGTGAGCGCACCTGGCGGCTGGCGGGTTCGGGCGAGCCAGCTGCCGCCGAGCAAAGCCCGAGGGATCCGGTGTCCGCCGGGGGCGGGGCGGGGCGGGGCGAGGACGGGGAGGAGCGCAGGGCGGCCCCGCCCCCGTGAGCGCAGGTGGAGGCAGGTGGGCGGCCCCGCCCCTGCGCTGGCACCGCCCCAGCAGCGGCCTCGCCCCACCCCCAGTGGGGCCACCGGTGAGGGCCACGTGGCCACACAAATGACCAGCCGGCTTCCCCGGAGGCCGGGCCTCGCAGGGCTGGGCCCGGAGCTTCCTGCCGGGAGGTGGGTCTGGGCCTGCGAGGCCGGAAGGAGGGGAATCCCGGACAGCCCGGAGCCAGCGCGGGAGGAGGGGGTGCCCGGGCCCCAGCAGGTGGGCAGTGGCTGAAGCAGGCGGGGAGGCCAGTGAGTGGCCAAGCGGGGCCCCGAGCGTCCCAGGGAGCCCGTGGGGGCTGGGCTGGCCCCCTCCAGCCACCTGCTCCCGGACTCCAGCCTGGCAGGCCGGCCACTGGGGCTCCCCGACTTCCCCAGACAACTTTGGCCCCTAAAAAGCGGGCTCCCCACAAGCCTGGCCGCAGAGGGGGGACGGCCCAGGTCACAGGCAGGAGGCTGGCGTCTGCGCCCAGGTGGCTGAGCCCGGGTCGGAGGCGCCCAGGCTGGGCCTTGGAGCCGTGGGCCTTGGAGCTGCGTCCCTGTGCACAGGGCGCCCGGGCTGCGGGAGACAGGGAAAGAGGGCAGGGTTGTCCTCCAGGCTCCCCTGGAGCCACGGGCCCACACCAGCGTGTGTGGGCTGCCTGGAGGGGGAGCCCGCCCTCCCCTGCCGGCCCTGGGCTGCTTTCAGACTTTGCTCTCTCCCCGTGTCCTCCCTGCCCCTGCAGATGGCTGACACCTCAGGACTCCTGGAGGCGGCCGGTGCCTCCCAGGTGTCAGCCACCTGGCTGCCGCCCAGCCCCCCGCCGGCCATGCCCACGGAGCCCTCGGGGCTGCAGATGGACCGCGGGGGGAACAGCTCGCAGGCCGCCCCCCAGCTGTTCCTCACCAGTGCGCTGGCCCGCGGCATCTCCGGCGTTTTCGTGTGGACCGCCCTGGTGCTCACCTGCCACCAGGTAAGCCTCCCTCCGCGCCTCCCTCGGGACAGGGCTCATGGTGAGACGTGGCCACAGCTCAGCCTGGCCCTGCTGGCATGGTGGGACCTCAAGCCGTGGCCTTGGTGATGCCGTCAGAGACCAGATAAATGGAGGAACCGTGCCTGGGGCTCTCCGAGGTGGCAGCAAGCCAGGGCACAGGCGTGGAGGGGGGGGAGGGCGGGCCAGGGGAGCTGGGGCTGAAGATGAGGTCTGCCAGGTAGAGGGCAGAGGCCCCATCACCCCTACTCACCAGCCCTGCTCGCTGAGGTCAGCAGTATCGTCCCATTTCACAGAGGAGAAGACTGAGGCTGAGAGAGGGCTCCCCTAGCCACAGGGGAAGGTCTCGCTTCCTCCAGAGGCGCGGCTGCCCCAGAAGTGAAGGCGGCTGAGGGCTGGGACTCCCTCTGTGGGGTGCTGAGCGGGGCACTGAGCGTCAGGAGCAGGGTCAGAGCTGCCCCTCAGACTCCTCGTGAGGGAAGCAGGGGACCGAGCAGTGTGCCCAGCCCAGAGGACATGTCTGCCCCTGTGAGGCGTGTGAGCAAAGCTGGGAGGTAGGAGCTGGTGGCAGCCAGGGCGAGGGCCACCTGGGTGGAGTGGCCTTCAGCAGGGGGTGCTGGGGAGCCATGGATGGCTGCTGAAGGGGAGCTGTGAGCAGCACTGCCCTTCGGGATGCTTCAGCTGGCACCAGCTTGGGGACTGGATTGACAAGTGGGCTGGTGCAGGGGGCAGCAGGAGACTGGCAGGCCCGGAAGTGGGTACCCCTCTCGGTGAGTTGCCTGCTCCGTGGCCTCAAATAACCAGACATAGAGCAGACACAGCGTGTGAGGGGGCCAGGCAGACCCCGGGGAGCTGAGGGGTGGGAGGGGTTGTGCCTTCTTGTGAGGCCCTCAGGGAGGACTGCCTGTGGGAGGCAGGAGCTGCAGCTGGACAGGAAGACGGGCAGGCGGGTGGCACATCTGATTTGCATGAAGCTACCATCACTGCCTGGTGGCGGGATGGTGGCAGGATGGTGGAGGCAGCAGCCCAGAGCCCGGGGTCGGCCGTCTCAGTCCCGGCTGCAGGCTGAGCCTCCGTTTCCCCATCTTCTAACCTGGACCTTCTGTAACTTGGGGACCAGCTGTGTGTGTGTCTGTGCTGCTGGGGGCCCCACCACCTGGACGGGGCTGATGGAGACACTGGGGCTGCAGCTCTCGGGCCCCACCCTCGGCCCCCACCCCCGCCCGCCCCCGCTGCCCGGCCTCTGCCATCCGGAGCCCCGTGGGACAGACAGGAGCACAAGCCCTCGCTTTAAAGACAAGGACCAGGCTGGCGAGGGCAGCGGCTGGCCAAGGCCACGCAGCCAGGCGGTGCCGGCTCCCGGGGCAGAGGTCAGGCCTCTGAAGGGCTGGTCACGCCGTGCCCTGCCCACTCGCCAGCGAGGGAGTGAACGACTGATAAGACGCCGGTGCCTGCACCACCTGCCCCCGCCTGCCCTCGAGCTGCCCCCGGGGAAGCTGGGCACACAGGCCTCTGCAGGGGCACGCCCTCTCCCTCTGCTCACGGCGCCTCCTCCTGGGAGCCCTCAGAGTGCGCAGCCAGGCGCCAGCTCCCCGGGCTTCTTCCTCTGAAAGGCCTGTCACTTTTTTTCTCACCTGAGGACATTTTTCCATTAATTTTTAGGGAGAGAGGAAAAGACAGAAATATCCATGTGAGAGAAACACATCGATGGGTTGCCTCCTGCACGCACCCTGACCAGGGTCCAGGCCGGGGAGGAGCCTGCAACCGAGGTACGTGCCCTTGGCCGGAATCGAACCCGGGACCCTTTGGTCCGCAGGCTGATGCTCTATCCACTGAGCCACACTGGCCAGGGCCTGTCGCCTTTGTATGTTCCCATAGAAAAACCTAGAAGGGTTTGAAGACGAGCTGTTGTCACCCTGCTTCCTGCTGTCCAGGGGGGGACGGCGCTTCTTTCCTCCATCTTGACGGTGCATTTCCAACACACTCGGGTGCTGCTTGGCTCGTCACCTGGCGTGTCTGTGCCCCGTCCTGTCAAGGCGTCCCATTTTCCTGGCCGTGTGGCACCCTGGTGCGTGGCTGCACCACAGTCTAACCAGCGGCCACCGCCCTGCGTGGTCCTCATGGTGCACGGCCGGGACTAGCATCCTTCATGGCTTTTTAAAATATGTTTTTATTGATTTCAGGAAGGAAGAGGGAGAGGGAGAGAGACATAGAAACATCAGTGATGATCAGGGAGAGAATCACCAGTTGGCTGCCTCCTGCACGCCCCACCCTGGGGATGGAGCCAACAACCTGGGCCTGGGCCCTGACCGGGAATTGAACCCTGACCTCCCGGTTCATAGGTCGACAACCACTGTGCCACACCGGTCAAGCCCTTCTTCCTCTCCTCTACCAGAGGGGGGCCAAAGGGTACCAGCCCTTCTCATGTCCCCGTCGAAATGCCAGACTACCTTCTGGAGTGTCTGTGCCCACTGGGACTGGGACTGTCCCTTGCAGGGTCTCCTCAGATGAATGAGTCAGTGAGTGAGGGAGTGAATGACTGAGTAAATGAATGAGTGAATGAATGAGTGAGTGAGTGAGTGAATAAGTGAGTGAGTGAGTGAATGAATGAATAAGTGAGTGAGTGAGGGAATGAGTGAGTGAGTGAGGGAATGAGTGAGTGAATGAATGAGGGAGTGAGTGGATGAGGGAGTGAATGAATGAGTGAGTGAATGAATGAGTGAGTGGATGAGTGAGTGAGTGGATGAGTGAGCGAATGAATGAGGGAGTGAGTGGATGAGGGAGTGAATGAATGAGTGAATGAATGAGTGAGTAAATGGGTGAGTGAGTGAGTGTGTGGATGAGTGAGTGAATGAATGAGTGAGTGAATGAATGAATAAGTGAGTGAATGAATGAATAAGTGAGTGAGTGAGGGAATGAGTGAGTGAGTGGATGAGGGAGTGAATGAATGAGTGAGTGAATGAATGAGTGAGTGGATGAGTGAGTGAGTGAGTGAGTGGATGAGTGAGCGAATGAATGAGGGAGTGAGTGGATGAGGGAGTGAATGAATGAGTGAGTGAATGAATGAGTGAGTGGATGAGTGAGTGAGTGAGTGAGTGGATGAGTGAGCGAATGAATGAGGGAGTGAGTGGATGAGGGAGTGAATGAATGAGTGAATGAATGAGTGAGTGGATGAGTGAGTGAGTAAATGAGTGAGTGGATGAGTGAGTGAGTGGATGAGTGAGTGAGTGGATGAATGAGTGAGTGAGTAAATGAGTGAGTGAGTAAATGAGTGAGTGAGTGGATGAGTGAGTGAGTGAGTAAATGAGTGAGTGGATGAGTGAGTGAATGAATGAGTGAGTGAATGAATGAGTGAGTGAGTAAATGAGTGAGTGGATGAGTGAGTGAGTGGATGAATGAGTGAGTGGATGAATGAGTGAGTGAGTGAATGAATGAGTGAGTGAATGAATGAGTGAGTGGATGAGTGAGTGAGTGGATGAGTGAGTGAGTGGATGAGTGAGTGAGCACATGCACCTCCGGTGGGTGGGTGACCCCCACAGGGTGCGGACACCCCACGCCGCTCTCCCCCCCCAGATCTACCTGCACCTGCGCGCCTACACGGTCCCCAGCGAGCAGCGGTACGTCATCCGCCTGCTGCTCGTGGTGCCCGTCTACTCCTTCGACTCCTGGCTCAGCCTCCTGCTCCTGGGGAGCCAGCAGCACTACGTCTACCTGGACTCGCTGCGGGACTGCTACGAAGGTGAGGCCGGCCAGGCCCGACAGCTAGGACCAGCCGTGCGCGGGGCGGGGGGGCGCCTGGTGGGTGTGGGGGCACCCGGGCCGCCCAGAGCCCAGAGGGAAGTGGGGCTCTCCCGGGCGGTGGGCCCCCAGGGGCGGGTCGGTCCCAGAGCTGAGCTGGGAGCCCGTGGGGGAGGGTCCTGCGAGGTGACCTGAGCCTCAGCGTGTCCTGAGAAATGGGTTCAGCCTGGGGGTCGGGGAGGCTTCCTGGAGGCGGTGCCACTGGACGCCCAGACTCACCGCGCCCACCGCGCCCGCCGCCCCGGCTCCGCAGCCTTCGTCATTTACAGCTTCCTGAGCCTGTGCTTCCAGTACCTGGGCGGGGAGAGCGCCATCATGGCTGAGATTCGGGGAAAGCCCATCCAGTAAGCGCCTCCCCGAGCACCCCCCCCCTCCCGGGCTGTGGGCAGGGCCCTGTCCTCCGACCCGGCCTCAGGGACTCGCACCCCAGGTCCAGCTGCCTGTACAGCACCTGCTGCCTGCGGGGCACGGCCTACTCCATCGGCTTCCTGCGCTTCTGCAAGCAGGTGAGGGTCTGCCCCTCGCTGCCCGGGTGCCACTCCCACATGCACCTCTGCATCCCTGCACCCCTCACCCCTCGCTGCCCGGGTGCCCCCCCCACGCACCCCTCACCTCTCACCCCTCACCCCTCGCTGCCCGTGCCCCTCCCACACGCACCCCTGCACTGCTCGCTGCCCGTGCCCCCCACACGCACCCCTGCACCGCTCGCTGCCCGTGTGCCCCTCCCACACGCACCCCTCACCCCTCGCTGCCCGTGTGCCCCTCCCACACGCACCCCTGCCCCTCGCTGCCTGTGCCCCCCACACACGCACCCCTGCACCCCTTGCTGCCCAGGTGCCCCTCCCACACGCACCCCTGCACCCCTCGCTGCCCGGGTGCCCCTCCCACACGCACCCCTGCACCGCTTGCTGCCCGTGTGCCCCTCCTACACGCACCCCTGCACCCCTCGCTGCCCGGGTGCCCCTCCCACACGCACCCCTGCACCGCTCGCTGCCAGTGTGCTCCTCCCACACGCACCCCTGCACCCCTTGCTGCCCAGGTGCCCCTCCCACACGCACCCCTGCACCCCTCGCTGCCCTGGTGCCCCTCCCACACGCACCCCTGCACCCCTCGCTGCCCAGGTGCCCCTCCCACACGCACCCCTGCACCCCTCGCTGCCCGGGTGCCCCTCCCACACGCACCCCTGCACCCCTCACCCCTCGCTGCCCGGGTGCCCCTCCCACACGCACCCCTGCACCCCTTGCTGCCCAGGTGCCCCTCCCACACGCACCCCTGCACCCCTCGCTGCCCATGTGCCCCTCCCACACGCACCCCTCACCCCTCACCCCTCGCTGCCCGGGTGCCCCTCCCACGTTCTCCCGCCCCTCGCCCTCTCCCAGGCCACGTTGCAGTTCTGCGTGGTGAAGCCGGTCATGGCCCTGGTCACCATTGTCCTGCAGGCGGTTGGCAAATACCACGATGGGGACTTCAAGTAAGGCTGGCAGGAGGGTGGGCCGGCCGGGCATGGGGGAGGTGGGCAGGGCTCCGCGGGGGGCTCAGCACCTGGGGACAGGCCCCTCCTCTCGGGAAAGTGCTGTCCCAGGTGAGCCCTCAGGAGCCCAGGCCCAAGGCCCAGGCAGCAGCCAGCCCACCCGAGGGAGAGCAAGGGCTGGATTCCAGGCACCCGGGCCAAGGTCCACACACACACACACCCCACACGCATGCACACACCACACACATGCACATGTGACAGCACATGCGATGCTCATGTGTGCACACAAGCACACGTGCACACACAGGCACACCTACAAGGCAGTGCGCGGGCAGGTGGGGAGGGGCAGGAGAAGGGCCACATCCTCGCGGCTGGGTCAGGACCCCCTGCCAGGCCCCCGCCCGCCCCCAGCTCCACCCCCTGGGGCCCCTGCGCCTTTGGAGGGAGGTGCAGGCCCGGTCATTGCTGGCAGCTGTGGCCCTGACCGCCCCTGCCCTGCCTGCAGCGTCCACAGCGGCTACCTGTACGTCACCCTCATCTACAACGCCTCCGTCAGCCTGGCCCTCTACGCCCTGTTCCTCTTCTACGTCGCCACCAGGGAGCTCCTACAGCCCTTCGAGCCCGTCCTCAAGTTCCTCACCATCAAGGCCGTCATCTTCCTCTCCTTCTGGCAGGGTGGGTGGGCTGCTGAGCCCCAGAGCCGGTTCCCCCACATCCCCCCGCCCAGCCTGCTGCCCAGCTGTTGGGTAGGCGGTCCCAGCCCTCTCCGCTGGTGCCCTGCAGCCTGGGTGCTGGGCTGCTTGTGGGAGGGGTGGGCCCGCCTGACCCACCAGCCCTGGGCCGGGCTGCGGGCATCCCTGGCCCACTTGGCAGCAGAGGGCGGCGAGGGTGGGCGCAGGTCTGGGTGGCGGGGGCATCTTGGATGTTTTCTGTGCCAAGACCCCGGCGTTGGAGCCCCTCTGAAGCTCGGTCTCCCCTCAGCCCCCATGGCAGGCAGCAGTGGGGTTCTTGGCTGGGACAGCTCCGGCCCAGCCTCCTGTCCAGGTGGGTGCCTGAGTGGCTGTCCCCGCCCCAGGGATGCTGCTGGCCATCCTGGAGAGGTGCGGGGTCATCCCTGAGGTCCAGGGCATGGACGGGAGCAGGGTGGGCGCCGGCACGCTGGCCGCCGGCTACCAGAACTTCATCATCTGCGTGGAGATGCTCTTCGCCTCCATCGCCCTGCGCTACGCCTTCACCTGCCAGGTGTACGCGGAGAAGAAGGACAACTCGCCAGGTAGGCAGCCCTGCCAGCGGGTGAGGAGGGGGCTCCCGGAGGGCTCAGCGGGGGCAAGGCACGGGTGTGGCCCACCTGCCCTCCCCGGGTGCCCTCCGCACCGTGTCTCCATCCGGGTCCCCACACGTGAATGTCCACTCGATGGGCAGGAGGACAGGGCAAGGGGCAGGGCGGGGCAGGAGCCTCGTCTGCACCTGGTGCAGGGAAGACGGGCAGGAAGCAGGGGGGCCGGGGCAGGCCGTCTGACGCAGAGATGGCTGGACCCGATTGGGCCCCAGGCCCCTGGACAGCCGGACGGGGTTGGTTGGTGCTGGTGTCCCTGGAAAATGGCCCATTCGGGCAGCAGTGGCCTGGGGCTGCTCTGGCCACCCAAGGCGTCCCCCACCTGTGACCTGGTGGGGTCTGGCTGGGCAGCTCCCGGAGGCAGGAGCAAGCTATGCCCGGCTGGGGTTCGAGGGGAGATGGGCCCAGGGAGACCCAGCCCCCCATGTGCACTGCCCCCAGCACCCCCGGCGCCCATGCAGAGCATCTCCAGTGGCCTCAAGGAGACCATGAGCCCGCAGGACATCGTGCGCGATGCCATTCACAACTTCTCGCCCGCCTACCAGCACTACACGCAGCAGGCCACCCAGGAGGCCCCGGGGCCCGGCGCCCTCCCCGCGGTGGGCGGGGACCGGAGGAGCCGCAGCATGGAGAAGAGGATGCTGATCCCCTTGGAGGAGTCGTAGGGCCGGGTGGTCTGGCTGCTGGGAAAGGGCAGGGCTCCTCGCCCCTGACCCTCCGCCAAAGGTCCACCCCTCCCAGAGCCTCCTGCCCGGCCCGTGGCAGAGGGCGCCTGCGCCTGTCCAGGAGCCCAGGGACCCGCCGGTGCAGCTGGCCATGCCCTCAGGGGCCACGTGGCCGCCCTGACAGCGGGTCCCAGGCTGGGCGGCTGCAGGCGACAGCGTCAGCTCAGGCTGTGGGCGGGTCTCGGCTGGGCCTGGCTCTGGTCCTCTTGGGCGCTGCTGCACATCCCTCAGCCACGGAGCCCTGGCCAGCCCTCACCCCGGAGGTGCTCCCCGTGGGGGCCTGGGGTGCCGGGGCCACCAGCCGGGTTATTTATACATAAACCCCTGGGTTTGCTATGACTCTCGTGGCCTCTGTCCCGGCAGGGCCGGTGCTGGTGGATGCGGGGCGCGAGGTGGAAGGTGCCCATGGTGCCAAGTCTGGGAATTGGGGGCAGCGTCCCAGCTCCGAGCCGGACAGGATGAGGAGCTCACCCCACCACCGAATGCCCTGCCCTGTGCCCCCTGAGGCGGGGGCACGCGCGGCCTCCTCTGTGCCAGCCCCACCCTCCGTGGGAGGTCACGCGCGCAAAGCCCCACAGGCGGGAGGAGCTGAGACCTGGAGGCGCCTCCTGTCCTCTCCCTCGTGGGACACGCGGCTGCAGAGCTGGGGGAGCGGGTCTGGGTGCTGCCCGCCCTCTGGGAGCCTGGAGGTTGGGGTCACCAGATGGGCAGGGCCTAGCAGGAGGTGCAGCAGAGGCTGCAAGTCTTGGTCGGCCCTGTGTCTGGGTGTCCAGCAGGTAGGGTGGGAGCTGGGGGGGGTGTGGGGGGCTGGGCAGCGGCACGGGCGCCTGAGCGCCTACAGGCAGGAGGCCCAGTGGCCACCGCCCCGCGCCCCCCCCCCCTCCGGGCCGCCTGCTCCCGTGTCACCAAGGAAGGAGGCAGAGGTGCCAAGTCCCAGACTCACCAGACGGACTGGCCAGCGGTGTCCACGATGGGTGGGGTCTTCCCTGCCCCTTGCTCCCTGTGCCTGGGACTCCCTGATAAGACAGGCCGGGCCTCCCCTGCGCCCGCTGGAGAGTCCCCCACGACTTATCTCGGGCTCTGCAGCTGGCGGCCCCCCCACGTCTCAATCCGCGGTTTGAAAGCGGAGGAAGAGGTGCCGACCACGCAGGGGCCTTCTGGAGGCTGCGGGCGGGGAAGCGCCAGGCCCCGCTGTGAGCCAGGGTGCTCCCCGCACCCCCCCGCGGGCCTGGCTGCCCCAAGCTGTGCGCGCGGATAGTCAGAGGCCCAAGGGACACGCGTGGGCTGCCGGGCGCCGTGGGCCAGCTGTGCAGGTGGCAGTGCTGGGCTTGGTGCTTCGGAGGGAGAGGAGGTCGGCGTTTGCCAAGCACCTGGCCAGACCGCACGCCCTTCCTCCTCGCGACAGCCCGGGAGGCGGCCCGGCCCAGAGAGGCTGAGCCACCTGCCAGGTCACAGCTGCAGAGACCTGTCCTCTCCCATCCTGGCCCCGCGACACCTGTCGTGGGCAGAACAAAGTCCAGCCATGAGGACAAAACAGGTGTCCAGGCTCCTGCCTGTGCAGGTGAGGGGACCATGGAGCCGGTCAGGGCTGCTGCTCAGGCCTCTGGGGCCTTGCCCTCCGAGTGGGGGGGCCTGCAGTGGCCACACAGGCAGGCGCGGCTTGTCTTGGCCTCAGTATTCTCATCTGTAAAATGGCCCCAGCGATTCACATAGAGGGCCTGGGGGACAGGGAGCCCAGTGGGGAACCAGGGCCTCCTCCCCAGCTCACACGCACAGGCTGTGACCAGCTCCAGATCTGGAGGCTCCCCGAGGAGGAGCAGGGTTGGTTGCAGGGGGTCTGCTCGGCTGGGAAACATCAGTGGTTGCCACTGACAAGCTCAGGGTGACAGTGGCCATTGCCGAGGCTGCATCCGTGGACTGGGGCCCCTGGCCAGCAGGTGGGACCCTCCGAACCCCGTCCACCAGCCAGGGAGTGAGCCTGCTGCCCCTCCCACCGGGTGACCCGCTCACAGCAGCACCTGATTTGGGTAAAGGGATGTGGGGGGACCACCAACCACACAGCAGGACAAACCTGAAACCAGAAAAGTCTTTATTGCAAAGGTACAAAAGCGTCACAGCAGAGATGTACAGCAATAAATTAGGCGGTGGTGTGGGCGCAGCACGGGGCACGCCCACAGGAACAAGGGCCACGCAGAGGGTCTCCTCAATAATTTATATCGGGGTCGAAGCAGCACAAAAATAAATATTGAAATGAAATTGCTGAGTGCTGAGGTGAGGGGGTGAGCTGCAGACGGAGCCTGCCCTGGGGCGGCAGGTGCCCTCGAAGACTTCGGTCTGAGCACAGGCCCTCGCCTCTCCTCTTAAATAAAGTCCATATATTAAATGTGACAGTGAGTTTCAATAATCTGAAAGGAAAAGCATGAGGGACACGCCAGGCTTCCTTCCGTGACCCTGTCCGCGGGGGGTGGGGAGCCACCCGTGTCCCGCGGGACCGGGCATTCTGGGAACCCAGCAAAGCGGCCATGCAGGACGCCCGCCAGGCCCCAGGCGGTCGCAGAGCCCGCAGAGGGCAGCGGGACGGGGTGGTGGGCCGAGCTCCAACCTGGACCCTCCGCCTGCAGCCCTGCTGTACATTTACAGTATCAAACAGGAAAGGTACAAAACCCGACAATAAAATGTGTATAGAACTTTTTATATATATATATACTCTCTCTTAAATACTCCCAGTCCTTACTGATATCCAATGTGGATTACCTACCACAGCTATGGCATCCACAGCTTCCTCACCCCACCCCGGCCTCGCTCTAGGGCGGCTCGCCCAGCCCCCGCTGCCCCAGGACAGGACACAGGACACAGCCGGGGGCAGCCGGTCCGTCCGCAGCCCCTCTGCCTCCCCCGGCGGCGGGCACCTGGGGGTGGGGGCTTCACGGCTTGCTCGGTCTTTCTGGGCGGGGCCAGTGGTGGGGCTCGGGCCTCTTCCCAGGACGGCAGGATGGGGGCAGCACCTGCAGCAGCGCTGAGGGCGGGGAGCCCCAGAGGAGGTCACCGAGGTCACCCGTGGCTCCAGAAGGTTCCAGGCGATGATTAAGCACCAAGGTTGCAGGGTCCCACCCTCTGTGCAGGCAGACCATGCAAGCGCCCCCACCTTCCGGCCTGTGCCCCCACCTCCCCGCAACGCCCTCCCCCACCTCCTGCACCCCACCTGTCATCCTGCTCTCCCTCCTCTGGCAGCAGGAACAAGCCCAGCTCCACCTCCAACTTCCACAGCTAAGCAGGCCCCCTGCAGCCAACCCATTCCACCCAGAGCTCCCCTTCCCCTTCCACTCCCGCCCCACCCCCACCCCCGGCCTCACCGTCCCAGGCTCTGCGGGTGGCGGCCAGAGGGCTGCAGCTGGGAGGTGGGGACCTCACTCGTCACCCCAACACAGGGACACTTTGCAACACGCATGCAACTCTCCACACGGACGCCCCAGTGATGCCTGTGAGCAGCTGCTGCTCCAAGCCCCAGGGCCGCTGGCCCCACCACAGCCCCCCTTCGCCCGCCGGCACAGGGCTCGGCCACGGCAGTGACGGTGCGTGTGGGCCAGGACAAAGGTTCCTCCTGGGACAGCAGGGCTGTGGGCAGTGGGGCTCCAGGCCACAGCAGGACAGAGGCTGATGCGGCTGAGGCCGAGGCTGGAGGCGGGCAGGGCCCTGGGCCTCAGGCCAGGAGCCTCCGAGCCCTTCCCCACCCGACTCCCCGGGAGACAGACCCCGAAGCGACAGCCTGGAGAGTGGGTGGCCGAGGGTGGCCAGTGCGTGTGCGTGTGCGCGAGTGGGCACATGTGGGCGCGTGCAGGAAGGCGTGCGACACACAGGTTCACGAGACCCTCCTCTCCACCCGGCCCATGGGGGCCCCGTGGACTCTGCACGTGGACTTGGTGTCGGGGATCTGTCCCCGTGGACCCTGACAGCACGAGGGGCGTGCCCAGCGCCCTGCACCCGGCGCCCGGCCTCGGGCACTAGGAGGCGGCCGAGAAGGGCACGGAGGGGGATTTGACGATGGTGATGACGCTGGTGGTGGCCACCTTGGAGGGCGTGACGGGCCCGCGGGCCACGGTGCGCGCGAAGGTCTGCAGCGCCTCGTACTTGGAGCGCAGCGCGTCCAGCTCCAGCCGCATGCTGGCGTTCTCCGAGGCCAGCTTCTCCACCTCCCGCTGCAGCGCCACCCGCTGCCGCTCCAGCTCCTCCTTCTGCGTCACCCGCTTGATGCGGCAGCTGGCGGCGTAGCCGCGGTTCTTGAGCGTGCGGCGCCGCTGCTTGAGCCGCACCACCTCCTCCTTGGACAGGCCCCGCAGGTGCTGGTTCAGCTCCCGCACCGACATGGACACCAGCTCATCGTCGCTGAGCACCGGGGCGTTCTCGCCCGCCTCCTTCTTGACCTGCGGGCCCGGGCACAGGTCAGCACCAGGCCTGAGGCCGGCTCAGCAGACGGGGGTCTGGGTCCCGGCAGCCCCTCCCCCACCAGAGGTCACTCGAGGTGCACACACGTGGCCATGACCCGGCTACTCGGCCACCCAAACCTGCCAGGCCACAGCCCATGTGGGTGTTGCCCTGTGACCCTCCAGTGCCTGGAACACACTGACACAGCAGGTGGGGGCCAGGAGGGCTTGGAGGTGCACAGCCCACAAGTGCATGGAGGTCCCGTGGGCTCCTGGGACCAGAGACAGAGGCCCAAGGGCACAGCCAGCCTCAGGCTGAGAGGGAGCCAAGAGCAGGCCCCGGGGCAGGGCCACCCGCCCGCACGAAGGAGTCCTCCTCCTGGACCTGAGGGCTGGCGCCTCCTGAGGCCACAGCCTGACTCTGCCCCCCTCACTCGGTGGCGCTTCCTCAGCCCACAGCCCTGGGACAGGGCCTCCTTCCTCGCAGCGGACGGGCACAGATGGCCTGGGCTGCCCCCTCACCCCTGCTTACCTTGTTAAAAATATATATATCCTAATTGATTTCAGAGAGGAAGGGAGAGGGAGAGAGAGAAACATCAATGACGAGAATCACTGATTGGCTGCCTCCTGCACGTCCCCTATTGGGGATCAAGCCCGCAACCCAGGCAGGTGCCCTTGACTGGAATCGAACCTGGGACTTTTCTGTCCGCAGGCCGACGCTCTATCCACTGAACCACACCGGCTAGGGCGTCCCGCTTACCTTTAATGCCTTGTTCGGTTTGGGATTAGTCGTCATAACCTGGGCACCGTCACCCGCACAGAACGGCCTGGAAATCGTAACTAGAAAGCAGAGAACACAGAAGGCACACGGTCAGTCCCGCTGGCCGGGGGCCGCCTGTGCCGCCACCAGTGACCGAGCAGGGCCATCCCGACAGCGGAGAGGCCCCGAGGAGGTTCAGCTCACCCTCCCTCGGTCCAGTTGCAGCGCCCCGAAAGCCCGGCGGGCCCCCGCCCCTCCTGAGGGGCTCCCCCGGGGCAGGCTCCTGGCCCAGGCGGTGTGGGGCCCCAGGGACCAGGTGGGTGCCCAGCCACGCCTTCCACTCCAGCGGCAGCCCGAGGAGCTCCCCTGCTCCCCCCGTTACAGGAGTGCCAGCCCCGGGGTGACGCCAGGCTGAGCAGAGCTGCTTCCTGCGGACTCTCCCTGTGCCTGTGGGTACAGGACGCCACGTTCAGGGGCCGAAGTACGCACGTATAGGCTCCGAGAATGACCCCACCAGGCGCCTGCGGGGCCACCAGCCTCGGGCAGCACCTGCCCCATAGGAGCCCGTTCTCCCGGAGGAAGGGCCCCGCCAGGGGCAGTGGAGTCGCCCGCACTCCCAGCCGGCCTACCTCTGCCAAGGGCACTACAGCTGTGACATCACCGCCTCCCCCTGGGCTGCCCCTGGCCCTGACCTGGGCTCAGAGGGTGGGCAGGGCTCCTGGGCCAGCCTGGGGCAGGTGGGGAGCCAGGGAGCCGCTGCCCTGGGAGCACATCGCCCGTCTGGCGGGAGCTGTCCCTGCCGCCGCCAGCCCCTGCCCTCCTAGTTTTTGCGTCTGCATTGTGTCACACATTCTGATCATTCATGAAAAAGCCAGCCAAGCATCCCAAGCATGACTCCCCTCTGATAGTTGCCATGGCGACCTTGGGAAGTAGCCAACCCCTGATGGTTGTCATGGAAACAGAGAAGCCCACAGCAACAATGGCTTTGGGGCAACAGTGCAGACACCGCAGGCTGTGGGACAGTAAACTCACTCCTGTGCCCCCGTGGCCAGGGCGGGGGGGGGGGGGGAGGGAGGGGGGGGCAGGCACCAGGCTTGCTGGTGGGCTGTGTTGCCAGCTCGCAAGACCCCGTATACTGGACATCCTGACACCAGACAAGCACCACAAAGGGTCCTCGGGCCTTTAAGCCGCATCACAGCCTCCATCTCAAGCAAGACTCCACCCCACCCTCCCTCAGCCGGAGCCCAGGACCCTCAGGCAGCACCCCTGGGCCCTCCACCCCCTCACCACCAGAGGCCACAAACTCAACCCAGGTCTCAGCACCCACGCCTGCAGGCCCCGCACCGTCCATGGGGCACTCTGCTGGGCCTCAATGGGGATGGAGAGCAGGTCAGGCTGGGGGCAGCTGGCGCTCCGGGCTCCCCTGGCCCTCACGTGGTTACATGCGTGTGCCCCAGACGACGGGCCGCAGTTTGGGGAGATCCTAGCAAGGAGCTCAGAGCTGCTTCTGACAGTGGCTTGACCCCTGGCATCTGGGGTGGCCAGCCCCGCTCTGTGCAGGGGTCAGAGCGCGCTGGAGAGCCGCGGGGCTGTGGGAAACTTTTCCACGCCATCGCCATCATCGCCAGCAAGGAGGGGTGGCGGTGTCCGGCTCCCATCCCAGCCAGCACGTCATGAGGCCCGAGCCGCCAGGCATAGCTGTGTGGTGAGTCACCGGCTGTTTACAGAGCAAGAGCTCACATTCCCACAGACCCGGCCCCACCCCGAAGGGAAACGGAAGGCCCGGCCAAGGACCTGCCTGGAGCAGACCCCGACCCGACCCGACGGGCTGCTGTGTCCAGAGCCAGCTCAGCCAGGGCAGGCGCAGGGCAGAGTCCTGGCAGGGACCTCCCCGGGTGCCCACCTGCCCACCACGGGATCTGTGCTGGGACTCGGGACGGAACCAGGATGCACACGGGGGGGCTTCAGCCCCCTCCCCCGCAATCAGGCCCCAGGAGGGCCAGCCTCCCCCACACCCACCAAGTCAAGGAGCCCCGGCAGGGACAGGAGGGCGGCCCGGGTCCCTCCCACCGGGGCCTGACCTCGGCCCCTGTCTAGTCCGCAGGCCTTCTGTCCAAGGAGAACAGCAGGGCCGAGGGCGCGATGGGTGGTCACCGAGCTGAGGAGCAGCCCGGGAACCCTCTCCCCCGGGGGTCCCCATCT